TCAGACCCACAGGGACCCCATGTACAACAGAATGAAACCCTGCCCAGTCTTGCACCATTCTCACATGGGTTCCGTTTGAGCCTGTTGTTGCAGTCATTAGCAAGTAGACCAGCATTAACTTAGGTGAAAAGGAAGGCAATATATAATACGAAGCAGGTTGGCAAAAAAATGATGGAGGCAGAGGAAGACATGTGGAGGTTTTAAGAGTTAAAGACAACAGTGGCAAAAGGTCAGTGGTTCAAGCCACCAGCTGCTTCATGGGAGAAAGATGAGATTTTTTTTTACTCCTATAAAGATTCACAAACTCAGAAACCCACAGGGGCAATTCTACTTTCATATAGGATTGCTCGGTTGAAATGAACTCCATAGTAGTGAGCTTGACTTTGGATCACTGATGTGAAACAGCTAATTGATTTTTGAAGAAGGGGAATTGATAGATCAGGACTTAATGGGTTTGGAAAAAGAAAGGAATACTGAAGAAGAAAGAACTTATGACAAAGAGGAAGAAGAGGAGTTGTCAATTTTTTTTTACAATGAAACCATTAGCTGTAGATTTTTTCTAAAATCCGAGGCTTCATTTGCTTGACAACATGAATCACTGTTGGATACAAGCTTTGTTTTAGGTTTGAATTTATCATTGATGGATATTTCATAACAATGAGATTTTAGGAATTGATTCTCTACAAGTAATTCTCATAGGTTGTTTGTCCCTTAAGAGAAATATCATCATTGTGGAAAGAGCTCCCAGTGGTATCAGAAGGTCTAAAGAGATGCTTCGTTATTTCAGATATCCGGAAAGAGAGAAAAATTGGGGCAGGAAGGAATAGTGTACCATGAAAGGCTCTGGGTTTTTCCAGTCCAGGTTCCATCTCTCTGCCATTAGTCCTCTCTAGTCTTCTGCTCCCTCCACCACACGATGTGATGGTCACAGCTGCAACATTCTATAAATAGAAAATATTTAATGAGGGTTTTAAGGAAGACTGAAGAAGAATGGAAGCATTTGAATTATGGTGCTGGTGAAGGATTTTGAAAATACCATGGACTGCCCAAAGAACAAAATAATCAAGGAAAGCAAGACTTCATTTCCTGTACTTTGGACATCCTCTCAGGAGAGACCAGGCCCTCAAAACAGATATCATGCTTGGTGAAGCAGAGGGGTAGTGCAAAAGAGGAAGGCTTTAGACAAAATGAATTGACAGTGGCTGCAACAATGGGCTCAAGGCAGTGGTGGGATTCAAATAATTTAATAAAAGTTTCGCTGTCCTACTGATTGTCTTAAGTATAAATATATATATATATACCAAAATGTGCTTTGTTATTTCATAGAGTTGATGGTTAAATATGAACGATAAAAGAAGTACACAAAATTATGACAAAATACCCATTTATAAACTATCAAGGGCTCATGCGGGAGGGGGGAGCGGGGAGGGAGGGGAAAAATGAGAACCTAATGTCGGGGGTTTAAATGGAGAGAAAATGTTTTGATAAACGATGTACAAATGTGCTTTACACAATTGATGTGTGTATGGATTGGGATAACAGTTGTATGAGCCCCTAATAAAATGTTAAAAAAAATAAAAAATAAAAAAAGAAGTACACAAAATTATATTATGTTGTAAGAAAGAATTTTTAAAATACTAATGACAAATATTAAATAATACCTGAAAAAAAGATATTCCTGTATTACTTCTTGATTGGCATCCTCACTTGCATTAGTCTTCGCTTTTATCTAAGCATCATGATTATCTGTGTGATTTATCTTTAACTATCTTTTCACTGCAGGAGTAAGCTCCCATGCCTTTAGAGGTAGACTAAATTGGCAATCGTCTTTGTGGTTGATATACTAGAAACAGGCAAGTTCTTCTCTCTGAACATATTATGTTCATCTTTGAAAAGCCCCTTTCTGATTTAGCTGAACTTATAGAAATTGTTCTGACAATAGTTTTAGCTCTTTGAACACTTTCAGGAATTATATAAATCCTTCATGGTATCTTGTGGGAATTTGGGGCATAACACAAAGCTGAAATGAATGACAGCGTGTCACCCTCTGGTTGTCGGGCACTTTTTCTCTTTATGTTCTATGCTTGTTTGCGGAAGTAACAAATGCAAGGAAATAAGAATGTATTTAATCAAAAGAATAATGAATTTTATGAAATGAATAAATCAATATTATAAGCATAGTTCTGCCTAATTTTGTATACCTATGGACAGAAGGAACATTACTGTGGGCCTTTAGAATTTGCTGTTGTGAAAATGAATGTTTAAAACAGAGAGAGAAAATAAAGAATGTAAATTTGTAATTTCCACATTAAGCAGCTTGCAGACCTTAGAGAGAACCCTGATTATAAGTGTCATTTTAACACGTGGTTCACTGAACTCAACAAAAAATTAGGTATTGGTTCTACTGAATCTATGCAAAGCAGCTGAATCCCACCACTGGTTCAAACATAACAATTATGAGGGTGGCGCAGGACCTGGCAGTGTTTTGTTGTATGCAGGGGGGCTATGAGTTGGAACCAACTCAATGGTACCTAACAACAACAATGAAGGTTTTGTCAAAGAAAATCCTCATTCTAAAACATCTCATTGTGCAGAAGAAAAGTATGCACTGGGCAAAAACGCTGTTGCCTAAGATCTGGAACTTGCATTTGTAACAATTTCTAATACCTAAACACATGAACTTTTCTTCCTGATTGTGCAATAAAAGGCAGGAAGCGAAAAGAGGAACATTCTTGAGCTCAAGTTAAGTCAGAGCCTCATTTAGGATACACACTAGATGTTAATAACTCGAAAAGCACAAAGATAACCAAATTTGAACCTGAATTCATCTGCATGTGATGTGCCACTAAGATGTCAAAATAATATCTTAGAAAATTAAACCAACAATTTGCCTCTTCAGTTATATAAGCAGGAGTATTGTAGTAAATTTTGACCCAAATATAACAAATGCCAGTATTTGGTGGTTGGTTTTTGTTTTTTTGGTTTTTAGTATTTCCGGTAACCCCATGTGCCATTTGAACAGATCTGTTTAGATTTGTGTATGTAAAAAGTTATTGCTACTAGGATTCTGGTTCATACACACATGGTGTATTCACCAAGAAACATGGTTAAATGTGTTTCTGTTGTCAAGTGGGTGGCTGCAGACAAGTTCTCTCGATAACACACTCATTTTAGTTTCATGAGGGTGCTTTAAAGCAAAAGGCCAATGGTAACAGCAGCTTTTGAAGAAATCTGCTAGGCTAGTTAATTCAAGGCAGAGGGGTCAGCTCAGGTCATAGCAATTGTTTTTTCGGAATTTTAACGGGGTTATCCTGACAGATTTTCTTGAAGAAGCAGGATAATCATGGGCCTTCTTAGGAAGAAGTTTTAAGAAAACTGAAAACGGCATTGGTGAGAAAAAGTCTAGGAAAGTGCCAAGGACTCCCCTCCACCGCCCCCACCCCCCACCCCAATGAAGGGTAGCAAGAGCTACCTTGTGAGAATTTCATTGGGACATCTTATCCATTCTGCAGTCCAAGTCTTGCCCCTTCAGACTTCTTTGTTGTCCTTAAACTCAACGAACATTTAAAAGTACCCCGATTTGAGTCCCTTGAGGATGCCAAAACTGATGTTTTGACATGATGTAAATCGAAGAAGAGCCCAGAATTCTTTAGGAAAGGGTCGGGAGTTGGAAACATCTTCTTCAAAAGTATATAGATTCTAGATGGAGGATATGTTGAGAAACAATAGCTTCGCAGTTTTATGTTTTTGTATAATAAAGATTTATATTATTTTATAGAACTGCTTTTTAACTTACCCTCTTCTGGCAATGCTTAAGTAGTCTACAGATTCTATGAAGATGGTGCCTATACCATCACTCTGCCATAACTATCCCACCCACTGTAAACATAATTCTGGTCATTTTCCTTGAGAAGAAAGATTTTAATACTTCCTTCACTAGCATGCATGCATGCATTCACTAGACAAACATTTTACTGAGTATCTAGTATGGATTTAGGCCAGACCAAGGAAATTTAGCAGTGTCTAAGACATGCCCTTTGGTTTCAAGAAATTCACAGTTTGAGAGGGAGACAATATACATGTAATTATCTTGCTAAGAACTTATACAATTTGAGAGAGGTGGCTGTAAGAATTAAGAACGCACAGAAGAAGGGGTCAGGAGTTGGAGAGGTTGGCAGGGAAATTGTCTGAGAGGATGACCCTGGCTAGGTGCTGTAGAGTCTGGGTTGGAAGGTAGGGAGTGGAGAGGATGAAGTTCAGCATTCTGGACTGGTCTGGCCAAGGTCAAGAGGTAAAAAAATATGGCTCGAAAGTGCAAGATACTAGTTAATAGTGGAAGGCAAGGCATGTTTTTTGCCTGAAGAAAACAAAAGAGAAAAGGAGTAAACATGAAGAATTTCATGACCTCTCTTGCGTCCGTAGGAATTCCTCTCCTCACTTCTTGCTTCATAAAACTGGTCTAAAGTAGAGTGGTGGCTATGCGTTTGAGCTGCTAACTGCAAGGTCAGCAGTTCCAAACCACCAGCCGCTCTGAGGGAGAAAGTTGGGGACTCCTTACTCCCGTCAAGAGTTAACAGTCTGGGAAACTCACAGGGGCAGTTCTACTCTGTCCTATAGGGTCGCTGGGAGTCGACAGCAACTCCTTGACAGTGAGTGAAAAGGGTCGATTAGGGCTCCCACCTGCGCTTAGAACTGGACGTGAGAACCAGAGTCAGAATGGATGGACTGTCCTCCAGGCTGCAGAGCCCCCCCACGCCCGAGCTGCCTGGGAGCGAGAGGAAGGCGGGGCGTGCGGGGCCGGCGGCCGAGCGGCTCGAGATAGGCGCATGCGTACGTCGGCCTCGCTTCCTAGGCGGGCGCCCCGCTGCTCGAGGGGCATTGGTTGCCTCCCAAGAGCTAAGCGGCCATTGGCTGCGACGGGTTGTCAGGGCGATTGAAGGGGAAAAAAATAGAAGGGGTGCTGGGCCTGGCGGGCGAACCGAGGTTGCTGAGGGCTGGGTGGTTCCGTGGCTCTGTGGGGCGGTGTCCGGAGAGCAACGGGGCCCAGGCGGTCCGGGGTTCGCGTCACACTCCCGGAGGTGTCGGAACTGCTGAGCAGGCGGGGAGTGGCGGCCTGCAAGATTCTCGAGCAGGGACCATGGGCTGTTTCTTTTCCAAGAGGAGGAAGGCGGAGAAGGAGTCGCGGCCCGAGGGCGAGGAGGAGCAACCCAAACAGTACAGCTGGGACCAGCGCAAGAAGGTGAGGAAGTCTTTGTAACGCCCCGCCCTCAGCGCTCCCTCCGCCCGCCCTCGACGCTTGCCGTCTGAGGGCTGTGGGGCGACCCTCGTGTGTGTATGTGTATGTGTGTGATGAACCTATTTGGTTGAAATCGGGGCACCTTGCTTTTTGAGGAGGCGTGAGATTGTGTGTGTGTGATGAACCTATGTAGTTGAAATCGGGGCGCCTTGCTTGTCGAGGGGGCGTGAGATGGAGCAATGAGGAGGATGCCCCAATGGTTGTAACCGAGTGTTGTCTAGGTGGGTGGACCCCAGAGGCTCAGCCCCTTGACTGCAGGTGTCAGGGAGAAGAAAGGAGAGCGGAGCGTGTCCCCAGTCTCCAGTGGGCTCCGTCCCAGCAGCCACGCTGAGCAGAGTTGTGCCCCGTCCTCGAATTGCACATGGGACTGATTCGCATCTCTTCTTGGCTCATGTTCTGTGGCTGTTTTCGCTCTCTCCTTTGCTCTCCCTGGTCTTCGGTGCCCCATTGCAGACTTTTCACAATGACTGAGTGTGATGTACAGAAAGCTTGGCTTGGTCTCTTCCGGTTTTTCTGAAAACAAGACAAACTCACTGCCGTCGAGTTGATGCCAACTCATAGCGACCAAAAGTAGAATGAAACTCCGGTCAGTCTTGAAATGTGCGTTGAAACTGTAACGTGAAAATAATCAGCATAAATCAGACAATATTTTGCTATTGCTTTAACATGAATGAGGAGTTGTGGTGCTGTACCTACCAGCTGAGCTACTAACTGCAAGGTTAGCTGTTCAAAACCACCAGCTGCTCCACAGGAGAAAGACTAGGCTTTCTCTATTGTAGAGTTGAGTTCCAGAAACCCACAGGGGCAATTCCACCCTTCTCTATAGGGTCTCTATGAGTCGGAATGAGTGGGAATAAGTTTTACATAAATGAAGACGCCCTTTGTTTGGACTTTTATGTATCTAGGCAGAACCCTGAGAGCTTTGCAAATGTCCCCTAGTTCCTGCACAAAACACACGTAGTCATACATTTCACAATGCTTCCGCTTTCTACATGGTTCTTCATTTGTAAATAGACTTTCTCTCCCTAACAAAATGAGAGATTTTAAAAATAATGAAATAAAGAGTGTTGTGAACAGTTCATTAATACTTACTACAGCAGTTGATAGAAGACATCTTTATTCAAGAATACTTTGTACATGTACCATTAACCTTTTTGGTACCCTAGATATCTCCATATGACTTTCAGTACCCAGCAACGTTTATTCAAGTAAAGTTAGGTCTCCAAGTGTCATATGGGAGAAATTGTGAGATTTTCTTTTCCAAAATGTATTACCTTTCTTTAATAAAATGGTATTTTTATCCATGCTTATCTAATCCTGATAGCTGCATTTGATAATGTGGGGAAGTAGTGTACTTTCTGTCCCATAAGAAGATCACACCTATCATTTGAAATTATTTGATGAATAGTTTTTTTTTAAAGATTCTTGTTTTCATTTTTATCACATTACTATTTTTAACAATGCTCTATAATCCTGAAGTGTCTACCATAGAGAAAATTTTGTATTTAAATTTCTTAGTTATTTGTTTTGAAATTCTAGGCTCAAAATAGATTAAAGGGCTTTTATTTTTTTTATTTACAGTTATCCTTGGTTGCTCTCTGACTCTTTAATTCATAAGAATTGATTCACGGTTTACCTTTATTAACAGAATGTTTTGAGTTAGTTGAAATCTCTCATGTTAGCTCCCCCCTCCTTTTAGAGAAATGGGTGGGTTCTGTGTTTTTTTCTTCTTTGACTAAGTAAACATATTGAAAAAGTCAAATAGTAGATACCAGCATCTAAGATTTTTCCCACAAAATGAACATTTAAGTAAACTTTTCAATTATGAATATTGTTTTGCACTTACAGAGAACATTTTTCTCAAGGGAACACTACTAGGACTGCAGTTACAGAGATGTAAGAGATGTTGCTTTATATATAAAATAAGCTCACGCTTCAGGGTATATGTGCAAGGAAAGTTAAAATTTTTTAACAAAAATTTGGAATGTTTCATGAATTTGCTGTTATCCTTGAGCAGGTGACATGCAATTTTAGGATATGCACTGCTGAAGTGTGCACAGGAATTTTGACCTATTAAAATTTTCTAACTAAATGAGCATTCTAGTCTAAGAGCAATTCAGGTTTTGTCCAACAAGTCCTACATGCATAAATTGAGTGACACTCTTCAAGTTGTGCAGCCATTCTTGCTATACCTTTCTAAATTCTCCTACTACCATTCATATAAATTCCCTGGCCCCTAAGCAAAAACTCCCATTAAAACAATCCATGTTTAAAATTCTTTGGACTATTAGAGAAAAGGAATTGTTAGCTTCCGTTTTGAGACAGTAGAGTTACCACTTTTCCCAACATTCCCTGCCCTCCCCTTCCTGGAATTACTAGGGATTCACTCTGTTGTCTTCAACTTGCCATCGAGTCAGTTCTGACTCTTGTCAACCCTATGTGTGCAGAGTAGAACTGCTCCATAACATTTCCAAGGCTCTGGCCTCTCTGAGGTAGATTTCCAGGTGCCTCTGGGTGGGTTTGAATTGCCCCCCTTCCAGCTAATAGTTGAGCACTTAACTATTTGTATGACCCAAGAACTCCTTATGGATGTACTCTAAGGTGCCTCATTTAAGATAGTCTGCTACATTTTGATTGAAAATAATTTTCTAGTTCCTTATCACCCAGGAGGAGCCCTGGTGGTATAGTGGTTACTCACTGGACTGTTATATGCAAGGCCAGCAGTCTGAAACACCAGTGGTTCCACAGAGGAAAGACAGGCCTTAGAAACTCACATGGGCAGTTCTGCCCTGTCCCAGAGGGTCACTCTGAGTCAGTACTGCTTCAGTGGCAGGGAGTTTGGCTTTTTGAGTATCACCATGAGGCCAATTCAGACTAGTGTACAAATGCTTTTTATTAGGCCAGTGGGTTGTTGTTGTTGTTGTTTCTGTTTAGCATTGCCATGCTTTCTCCTAGAAGATTTTATGTACCTTAAAAAGGAGTAGGCTATAGATCTAGCCTATAGAACATAAATGAGTATGTTCCACATATATTAGCAGAAATAGTTTGTGTTAATCAAAGCATTAAGTTTCTTTAGTCACATAATATATACAGTTTTAAAGTTAGTTCAATTCCCATTCGACTTCCAAACTTTTGATGTAAAAACAAAATGCATTGCCTGAAAATTTTCCTTTGAACTTGAACAAGTAGTGTTTAAACTTTTCCTTAGGTTGTGTAATCAGTGTATCTTTACTGAGGGGCACCCCCTGGGTTTTGCGTTTAAGTTGTGTAATTGGGTCAGTCTTAGGGGACTGAAGCAAGGAGAAGCAGTCTTAATTAGAAAGAATGTTTGGATATTAAGTGTTGCCATGGCAACCGACATAGTATAATCAGCTGTGTCAAACTCAATTTCTTTGAAAAGGAAAATAAGCATACTATACAATTACAACACTGAAATGATGAGCAATATTTTTGGATTGCAAGATATGTGTTTAAATCAGTTGGAAAGATATATGTATGCTGTAGTCCATGTTAATAAGTATGCTGCCTCCTACAGCTAGGTAAATTATCCGCTGTATATGGATATGACACAAAGAAAGACTCAAAATTCTAAGAATTATCCCTGCCCTCCATAAACTTGCTGGCTTTTTGTAATTAAAACACACAAAGTATTTAAATACAAACAAGATGAGAATAAGTGCTACAGAAAAGCAATTTTATTTTCTATATTCTTACCAATACTTCTTCCTCCTAGGTGATAGGAATTAGGATTCATTTGCTTAACAATGTATAGACAGCAAATTTTGACATCTTTTATGTTTGTCCTATATTTGATAGAAATAATGCTAAGCAAAGGGCCTTATAACAGAAATGCATATAACTGGATTTTATGCAGTCTGTTGTGAAACTTTGTGTAAAACAGCCAATGTGTACAGTTTTGGTTCCCTAGCTATAAAATAGGACAATACTAAAGATTTTTCTACCTATAATATTTAATAATGTAAAGACCTGCCCTAAAAAAGAAGAGTTAGACAATACAAAGAAAGGTCGAAAAGTAGAAATCATAGAAACCTTTGTGAAACAAAAATATCAAAATGTGAAGCCTTTGTTTCTCAACATATCCTCTATCTAGGTATATACACTTTTGAAGGTGGTGTTTCCATCTCTAACCTGTCCATGAAGCATTCTGTGCTCTTTGATTTACACCACTGCAAAAACTGCTGTTTGATAGGGTGCCATGCCCTGGCCCCAAAGTCTACTTTTGGCATTCCTCGGGGACTTCACTGCTTTACTTGCCTTGCTTCTCTGTTGCGTGCCCTTAGTGTTTCGCCGCAGTATGGTGGGGTCAGATCGGGAGCAATTCCCGCGCTGTGTCTCCAGTGCTTTCCCCTGTAGCACTATGGGTCAGTGAGGGACGTCATGTCTTGTGGTGGGGCCAGCCCTATGGTCCTCTCTGCTGCTCTGAGCAGGAATATCGTCTTTGGTGGGCCAGGATGTGTTCCACTCTATCTCCTTCCCTCTTCATTTGCTCCTGTGTGCTCTGTTCAGACTTGAACAGAAAACACTCATAAAGGTTGACAAACAGACCTGGAACTATTTATAGGTTTTTCTTTTTGTTGTTGGTTTGTTGTTGTTTGTTTTCTTTTGCTGTTTTGTTTTGCTGTTTTTGTGCTTCTTATTGTTTTTGTGTGTCTGTCTACATAAGATAGGCACGATAAACAATCCAAAGGAGAAAACAACAGGACCAACGGTTCTGGGAATACACAGGGGAAGGGGGGTGCCAACAGGGATAAGGGAACAATAAGTGATCTAAAATTGATGGCGAGAAGGGCATAGGATGCCTGGTTAGGCTTGATCAAGTGCAATGTAACTGACAGGAATGACTAATAGCTGAATGAAGGTTGAACATGGACAACAGAAAAGTGGGTGAAGGGAGACATTGGACAGTGTAAGACATGACAAAA